ACCTCAAAATAATGAGATATTTCTGATCTCATGATTCTGGAGCAAAATAGGAGCTGCCAGAACAAACTAATGGAAGAAACACCTTGGCTGACAGAAATCTATCCCTGGCACTGCCACAATTTACCTGCATTTTGCCCCTCTTTGCTCAGTCATTGTAAGAAAAGCAGAATCTGACTCTTTTTCATGTAGATTTTTCCTATTCTCTGTCATGTGGATATTTCCATTCTCCTCTTTTCCCTGGTTCTTGATTTTTTTTTCCTCTTACCTGAGCACTTCTCAACAGTAAGATCCATATTTTGATGCAAAAGGTACATGGGCATCTTTTTAACTTCACTTCTAAGCCCAGACTAAAGTGTGTTGGTAATTGAGGGGGGGTGCTACGACTTATATCAGGCCACATGAAGTGATTTCTAGAGCCTATTTCCAGCTTGGAGGTTATTCTAATATGAAGAAAGCCTTGGTTATCCAGGTAAAAACTGACTGTAGTGAAACACCAGAATCAGCAGAGTTTATCAGCTCTTCCCTGTCCTGATGTAGCAATGGGTGAAATTAGGGTGGAGGAGGCAGGGATGATGACAAGTGGGAATTCTCAGAATTAATTCTTACCTCCACCTGTGAATCAGAGCCCCACAGCCAGGGAGTTTCCATGGAAGTTGCCTGGAGACATTTTCATAATTTGGGCTCCTCAAATCAGGCAGAAGATTGCCTCCTCTGAGGAATAAATATATTAAAGCTGATCATGATTAGAAGCACTTTGATTAGTTCAGGCTGAGTTTTGCCTCCTGTGTGTAAGGTCAGAGTGAAGAGGAGCCAGTTTTGTTTTGGCTCTTGCTGATGGAGTTGTGGGACAAACTCAGATCCAGCCTTTGGGGGATCTCGGGAATAATACAGGCATCAGACCTCCTGTGTCAGCTGACAGCCACTGACAGCACACAGCATTTTCAGTTTCCTGAGATTCAAAGTAGATTTATTTTACTGGAACATTTCAATAATTTCCACTCCCTTGATTCCCTTGACTGCAACAAATTTGTAACGGGGCTGCGTGTTGGGTGGTTTGATGGGGCTGAAGAAGCTGAGGATTTTCACTTCAGAAGGAGTCCAGCTTTGCTGCTGACTTCCCAGTTTTTCAGTTTGTGGTAGGATATCAGGAACTTGCTGATAAAACCATTTCGATGTGGTGTTTTAAGAGAAAATAATTAAAATGATTTGGGCAGGGGTCGACTCGTGCCCTGCAAGAGGACAGTACTGCTGTTGGTGCAACGCTGCATGTTGAACATTTTGTGTGAATGTGAGGAAGTTATTAAAAGTTCAGTAATATTTCATTTGAAAATTAGCCTGTTCTGCCTTAATTTCCAGTGCTCAGCTTGGCACGTGGCCACTTGTCCACATCTGTGCCCCGGGGTGCAATAATTCATCTGTGAGAATTGTCCCAATTTCGGCTCACACTGCTGCTGCTCGAGTGTGATTTGTGGTTCATGTGGTTCTGCTGTTACTACACCTGCTGTGCTTCTTTTACCGTGGCTTAAATAGCTGGTTCTTTTCCCTAACTTCCAGGTAATTAGGGAATTAAATTCTGGAAGTGGAGCATTGCTTAGGTCAGAGGTGAAGGCAGACAGAGACGAGGTGGGTGTTCTCAAGGAGCTCAGGACATCTGTCCTTCGCAGCAGAAACTTCCTACCATGGAGAGCAGAATCGTGGGATGGTTTGGGTTGAAGTGACCTTGAAGATCATCCAGTCCCACCCCTGCCATGGGCAGGGACACTTCCCACTAGCCCAGGTTGCTCCAACCTGGCCTTGGACACTTCCAGGGATCCAGGGGCAGCCACAGCTTCTCTGGGCAACCTGTGCCAGGGCCTCACCAGCTTCCCAGGGAACAATTTCTTCCCAAAATCCCATCTGAACCTCCTCTTTTCTAATTTAAAGCCATTCCTCCTTGTCCTGTCACTACATGTCCTTGTCAATAGTTTCTCTCCATCTTTCTTTTGGGCTCCCTTCCCTGTACACACATTTTCATTTGTAGGAAGTTTCTGAGAGGGATCTCTGTGGGGGCACATTTCTCATGCATTGCAGGTTCTGAGTGCTATTGGTTGATGATATAAACTCACTGGTTTGGAAGATTTATAAAAGACCTTTCTAAAAAATTATTACTTAAAGTACGTTAATGACATTTTTCACTCGATAAAAACTTTAGGACCTTTTAACTTTTAACCATAACGGTGTGAATCATTATGAGTAAAAAAACCCCACCTTTTCACTAATTTCTCATCCAAACCAAGAATCTTAAATCATGGCCGAACCACAGCAATAATAAAACTTAAAACTAAAAAAAGTACTTGAACTTCCTTAAGATTTCAAAACTTCATAAACACGGGGGTTCATTTTTCGTGGAATTCCATGTAAATTGGGCACTCAGAGGATGATTTATCTCCACAAGTGACTGGTTTGGATGCAGGTGCCCACAAGGTTTGTAGGATAGGAAGCGGCAGCGCTTCCCCACCAACCACCTTGGATTGTTTTTCCAGTCTTTTCCAGAAAGATCAGGGGAAAGGATGGAAACAGAGCTTTCTCTTTCTTCTGTTGATAAGCAGTGAGGAGGAGCCACTCTAAGGCTCTCTGTGGGAATATCACACTTCAAATTAAGTTAGGACTACATTTAGTCACTGCTTGCTAAGCTGAGTTTAGTCACGGACATCGCATCCCACTGATGACCCTTGAGCTAAAAATTGCTGCTGTCCTATTTTAATTTCAACTTTTTAATTACTGTGATAAAAGTACATCCAAATAACTTAGAAATAAGCCTGTTAGATGTGCAGGGGCATTGGTGGTGATCCTAATCCGTGTTGCTGGGCAAGACCAGGAAGGAATATATATTTCCAGCTAAGGAAAAGGTCTTTGGGAAGCTGCTTTTAACAGTCTTGGGCAAAGGCTGCCTGGAGGGACTTCAGGGAGAAAGTTCTGGAGGTTCATGGTGGGTAAAAGCTGCCCGGAGGGGCTTCAGGGAGAAAGTTCTGAGGGTTCATGGTCTGACCACGTTCATGTGGAGTCGCCCTGGGCAATGGATTTGGGAGGTGATCCATGAAATTGGCCGGGAAACCTTTATGGCAGGATAAATGGGAGCTTTGATGAAATGGAATTAAGAAAATGAGTTTTAAACAAGAGAGAGGTATGGTGCCAGCCAACTGAGCCCCCAGATTTCTCCTGGCTTAATTTAATGGTGCATTTGTACTTTCGGGGTCAGTGCAGCTGGAATGGGTTCATCTCCCCTTCCTGCTTTTGGTTTGGTTTTCACTGTTGGATTATTGGTCCTGTTCACTCTTAACACACTCCTTTCATTGGCCTTTTTTTTTTTTTTTTGTGTAAAAACCTCCAGCTGCTGTGCTCAGCCTGAACTACAATGAGCAGGGCAATAATGGAGCAATTAAGTGCAATTAATGTAGAGCAATAATGAAGCAGGAGAAAACAGTGCCCTGCCAAGGTGCTTTATACTTATACACACTTCTCACAACGGGGCTGTTGCCCATGTGCTGGACATACTGGTGTTACTGGGAGCTCCAAAACAAGACCCTCCTTCCACCTTACAACCTCTTTCCATCCTGGATGAATGGTTTCATCTACAGGGAAAGGGATTTCAGCGCTGGAGCAGAGTTTCCCAAGCTGTGGTGTGGTCTCAAGCTGTCAAAAGTGTTACCTCACCTCCTCTCTCTTTTAGTTGGGGGGGAAAAAATTGCTTCTGTTCACTGCTGAGTGCCAAAAATGCCTTGAAGTCTCCTGCTGGAACCCACAGATTTTGAATAATAAGTAGGTAGAGTTATTCCAGCTTTTCCAGCAGCAAGAAGTGCAAAGGGTTGGGAAAAATCTCAAAAGGCTTTTTAGCAGAGGTTATTTTCAGCTGTTTCTTTCCTTCCTGGTGAATACCTCTCACCCCAAACCTTTGAAATTTAGTGAAGCTGAAGAACTCACTCAAAAAAAGAGGAATTTTCACTGGAGTAAGGCTGCTGGAACCCTCCCAAAAAGCAGCTGCTGCTGTTTTTCCTCCATCTTCCTGCACCTCCTGCAAAGCCAGACAAAGATAACAGACCCAATAAGGAAGAAAAGTGCTTTCCATGAATCCCATCATGGGAGGGCAATGGAAAACCCTCTTCCTGAGTAAAGGAACTTCCTTGTTCTGTTTGCTCTCAGTTAAATGTTTAAATAGCAATATTGCATCGGGGTGTGTGCCTTGGAGACAGGAGACCCAGCCTTTGCAAAACTATGAAGAAGTGTTTTTCCTTGTCCTCCAAAAAGCAGGTCAGTTGGGTTTGATGACATGGGGAAGAAATCCCCTTTTTCAGAAATTAAAAAATGTGATGTTACTGGAAACAGGATTGATGAGGAGATGCCAAGGCATTTACATCATCATATTATGTAGTTAACAAACAGAATTGAAAATAAAATTTGGCACAGGTTTTTGGTTCAAGCACCAACTTGCTGGGTAAGTATTTTTATTTTTTCACCTCTGACATTTGGCTTGTAACTTTTTGGTCTATTTGAGTCTATTTTGAGTCTATTTTACGGGCTGCTTCCATAGAAAATGTCACAGGTATTGCCATTTTTCTTCTCCTCCCATGCTGTGGGATAACTGGAAGTGTGATTACAGCTTGGCACCCTGGATTTGCAGGATAACAACTGGGATTAAACTGCCAGGACAGCTGAGATTTTGGCTTCCATTTGAGCCCAAACCACCCACTTGTGCCACCAGCACACACAGGTATTTGTTGCCTTAATTTGAAGCAGATCAGTGACTTTTTTTCCCCCCAGAGACAGGAGAGGGCTTGGATCCAGTGAGGATGAACGTGGCAGTCCCCCCATGGATCCATTTAGGGAGCTCTCAAACCTCATCCCAGAACATTTATTCCAAAATAATCTGTCTGCCACAGTGCCAGCCCGGCCCACACACATCCAGACTATTTATGAATGAAGAGAAAACACAGGAGAGCTGAGTCATGAGCACCAGAATGTCATTTCAGAAGAATAAAATTTAATTTTTATCTGAAAAAAACTGCATACACATGTTCAGATCTGGTCAACCTTCACAACATGTCTTCGTTTGCAAACAGATTTGTGCTTTTAAGGTGCAGGACCCCACTACAGCTTGATAAAGAAGCTAAGAGGTTTTTTTTTTCACATCCTATAACTGTGCAATCATCATTTGAAAGCTATTTACATTTTGCACCTCTCACTTCTAAGAACAGCAGCATCAGCTGTTAGAGATGTGCAGCTGTAATTTATGATTCAGGATTTACATGTGATTGAGGTGTAGTGTGAAAACCAAACAACCTTTCATTGTTCCAGAAACTCCCCACGGGCAATGATTATAAATCTAATTTCTTCTTTAGAAAGGAGATCTGTTTAAGCCCTCAGACTTCCCTGCAGGTATTAAAATATTACTTCCACGCTGATTCCTCGATCATCTTCCCCTGGTGCTGACATGCACTTTGCTGCCTTGGTGAGTGGGAGCAGAAAGAAAAGGTCTTGGGTTTTATCAAATAAGGCAGGAGGGCACTGAAACAGAGCTGAGTTTGCTTCTTTCTGTCACCTTCACTAAACTGCAAGATTACACACTGTATTAAAAAAAAAAAAAATCTCTTTTAGACCATCTGAACTCAGGTGCAGCAACTTAGATGCAAAAACGTTGGATTAAAGTTCATCCTCCTGTTTCTTTCTCTTCGAATTTTCTCTCCCATCCATTAAAAATTAGAAGTCAATAACCAGCCAGGTGTTAGCACTCAAATCATGCTGGATATACTAATTTCTTTATATTCTGTAGCCTGGGCAGAGAAGCCATGGGGTGTTTTTCCCCTGCACTGTGAACTTTGTGTGTGATGAGTGTTGCACCCCTCAGCCATCGCAGTCTCTGCTGTTCTGCACATGCCAGAGTGGTTAAATTAGGCTGCTGAAAGTGGTTGAAATCAGGCAAATGTGGCATTGCAGGTGATGTGCTGCCTGGGTTGGTTTAAGAGGGGCTGTGCAGGCAGGACCTCAGAGCTCTGGGAATGAAGCAAAGCCGTGTGTCGTGAGAGAAAACGGTGTTTTCCTACGTGCCAGAGTGCTTTGGAACAAACACACAACATTCCACATGAGCTGCTGGGGCGGGTTCAGTTCACCACGGACACGGCGCCGTCGGGCTGGGCCCCGAAAATCTGGGAGAAGAACTCGAGGGCCAGGCGGACGTGGATGGGCACGAAGACGTAGGCCGTGTACACCACCATGGCCACCACGGTCACCGTGATGGTGTGGAACATGGACTGCTCCCAGGGCTCCAGCACGTAGCTGCAGGTCACCAGCAGGTACTGGTAGTACAGCCAGTAGATATAGTCCTTCACTCGCTTCACATCCATCCTCAGCTCCTGGAGGTTGGGAGACGACCTGGAACGACAGGAAACTCTGGATTAAACTGCGCTGGAAAGGCCTGGCACTGAACCAGGATGTGGTGACCATCATTTTGAGTTTGATATCGCATGTGAGCGTTGTATAAAGTGAATTTCGAGCAGAGGTAACACATCAGTGCCATCAGCAGCAGCAGCACAGGGAACAGTGCTGAGCTCTGCAGCTGCTTCTTGAATTTATCAAAGCTCTATCACTTGGACAATCTCAATTCCCAGAGAAGCTGTGGCTGCCCCATCCCTGGAAGTGTCCAAGGCCAGGTTGGATGGGACTTGGAGCAACCTGGGCTAGTGAAAGGTGACCAGGCAGGGAGTGGGACTGGATGAGCTTTAAGGTCCCTTCCATCCCAACTCATCCTGTGATTCTAAGAATTCCCACATTCCAACTGTGAATGTATTTTCCTATTTGTTCTGTTCTAGGAATTAAGACCACATGATCCCACAAAGGCACAGGGATCACATGGAAATCAGGGAAATAGGCATTTAAAAGGGAAGGCTTTGGGTCAGCTTCCATAAATGTGGGTGGCAGACAGATATGCCCTGGGATAAAGATGAGATTCAAAAAACTGCTCTAAAACCCCCTGTGCTTCCTTCTGGTAATATTTTTTATTGTTTCTGCAATTGTTGGGAATAAAAAAAAAGACAAGCTATGAAAGGGAGGGGAAAAATAACCTCAAATTGCAGAAGAAGTTTTTCCAGCTCACTCCAAAGAAATAAGAAACATTTCAGATTAAATGTATTTAATAGAAGTTACAAGTCTAGGAAAGATTTTCCTCTGAGGTGATACCTTTCTGCATTTGCTGTTCCCAGCTCCACGTGGAAAGGGGAACGGTTGAGTAAGTATTAACTAGGAAATGGGGTTTGCCTTCCATTGCTTATTGTTAAAATTGTTTTTTGGCATTTAAATAACCTTTAAATGCAGGCTAAAAACATGTATTTCAAGAAAACAGAATGACAAGCAACTGTACGAGGCTTCCCAGAGGGACTTCTTAATTTTGGGGGTTGAGTTTAAGGACACACAGGTCAGCTCACAGCAGATTTTCCTGCTGGAAAACCTTCCAATGTATCAGTTTTTTCTACACTTCTGTTGCCTAAAATGCCAGGAACAGAGAAACTTGGACACATCACATCCCTCAGGCCTTGTGTTCGTAGCGAGTTTTGGGCACCAGAAATTTCCCATCCCTCAAAGCCACAAATACTAAGGCAGCAGTGAAAAATTTGCAGCCTGTGATTAAAATAATGAGAGGCCACTGATACAGGCCAAAAAATATGACAGCACTCAGTGGTTTGCTGCTGTCCACAATATTCTGGTGGTTTGTGGGTATTTACCAAAGGGAAGACAAGGTACCCATACAAAGGATGCCTGGTTTGTTTTCTAACAGCTTTATTTTGGTTGCTGGTGTGTAAATCTTTGTCTGGTGGTTGCCCAGTCAAGTGCACACACCTTGGATTGTGTTTCTCCATCTTTCTTCCCCTGGGTCACTGGTGCTCTCACACCTCACTGCCTGGAGATGCTGCAAGGTAGATTTGGGGGTTTTCCTTTTTCTCTGGGAAGGCAACAACCACAGGCTGACCTTAAGCCTGGCTGTCTGACTGATGGACACTCCAAATGCCTGTCCAAGCTGCTGTTGAGAACCTGACTGTGTTTATTCTCCCTCCTCATCCATGTGCAGGCACCTCTCCCCATTTTCTCCTCCCATCCCTCAAGTTTCTGTCCAGATTTTTATGCAGCAACCTTTCTGTACTTGCCCCATCACCCCCCAACAAACACACTTTCCTTCCCACCAACTTTTCTTCTGTGTCCTCCAACCATCAGTACCTTCCCAATATACCCTTTATTCCCCCAATTCCCATAAAGCAGTTAATTTCCTTCATTTCCATCTTCCCATATCTCCTAGACCAAGAAACTGCCTCCAGTGCTTTTGGGGGGGAAGATCACTCCCATTTTCAATCCAGCAATGACTGTCTTTGCTGGGAACAGTTTTACTTCCAAGAGTTCAGGCTGGGCAGAAATGTCACCACTGGTCCCTGTCCTGGCATGAATGGAAGATAATTTATTTTAAAGCAGAACTCAAGAGAGACCTTAAAGCCTTGTAAATATTGCAAAGCCTTCAATAAAAATGGCACAGCTGGCAAACTGTGACTCCCTGGGAGCCAAAAGTGTCTCTATTTAGCCCCTGTGCAAAAAGAGCAGCATTTCCAATGAAGAGGTTAAGCCCTTTCCTCTACAGTTGGAAGGAGAATGATAAGGGCCCTCTGATACTCTCTAGGATTAAGGTATTTACACTGGGGTTAGACCTGTGCTAGTTAAACTCATACCTTTCTTGGGTAAATACCTGCTAATCCTGCCTGCTGCAAGGCTGGAGCACTGGCTGTGGGTGGCTGAGGCTCTGGGGCACCAGAGGTGCACATACACTTGTGTATCTCTGTATAGAGCTGGTTTAAGGAGCAGCCAAAGCCAGGAGAAACCTTCCCCAGGCTGATTTGCCTGATATTCAACCAGGCTGCAGCCTCAGCACTATCACTTCCCAGGCACTGCTGTCTTGGAGGGAGACATGAATAAAGGATGAAGTCATTAAAATGATGAGCAGCCCTTTTTGATTTAACCAAAGACCTCGTCACACTTTCTTTCTCCAGCCTGGGGATTGTGTTTCCACTCAGCTCCACCACAAAGTCCAGCCTGTGCTTCTTTGCTTCTCCCAGTTCAGGGTGCAGGGGGATAACTCCATGCCCAGGCACTCCTGGAGTACCAGGGAAAACACACACTGTCTTAATGCAGAGGCTTTGTGGTCTCCTAATGAATGGCAGAGGCTGAGATAAGTAAAAGCCAAACAGTGAATTACAGAGTCCTCACCACTAACTCACCTCCACTGCATTTCATCTGCCCAGAGACCTTCTCTGATAGCAGGAGAAGGGAAGCAGCACAAAGAGTGTTGCAGGATAATGCCATTCCAGGTGCATAATTTATGAAGGAAAACATAGGAGGGAAAGGAAAAAAAAGGCACCTTAAACCAGCTCCTCAGGAAACCAGAGACCAGACTGCCCTGTGCCACAGACACTTCTGGGAAGGAACCCTGTTTGCATTAATTTGGGCCCAGTGTGGAGCACGAGGAACAGCCCAAAGCTCCACATCTCCAGCAGCTTTCCCACCCAAATTACTTGTACCAATAATCAAAGGGAATAGCAGATCACTGCACAAACTTCTGAGGGTAAAAAAAAAAAAAAAAATCTGTATTTTCAACAGGATTTGTCCTTCTACTTCCATTTTTAAGCATTGCTGTGTTTCATTATATTACTACTGTGACTCTGAGTTGAAAGAGTCCTGAGTTATTCACTCATTAATTCCCAGTATTCCAGAGCAGGAGGTAATTTGCTCTTATGCCATTTTAACTTAACACTTGTCCGCCTATAAATTTGGATTTAAACATTCAATTGTGTTGTGGAAATGCCTTTCTAGAGGCCATGGGACTGTACCAGCCAGCTATGAGTGAAATGAAGAGAATTCACCTTCTCAAGCCATTAAGCAACATTCAGGTTATTTTCAGCAATTCCACCTCCAAGCCAAAAAAAAAAAAAAAAGAACCAAACCCAAGAAGAGAAACCTGTAAAGCAGCTTTTATTGTTTTAAGTGGCTGCCTGATTTTCTTGCTTGTTGATACATGCCTCTGATTAGGGCAGCTGGAAAGATAAATCATCATCAAAATGCCCCAAGTTTCATTTCAGAGCATGTCTAATCTCAAAAATTGCTTTATTAGTGACCTGGTCTTGGAGCTAATTGGGAGTTGGAACCTGAAGATGCCAGTGTAAGGGACTTTAATGTGGAATTTATGCTTTGAGCAGCTGGGATTTGGGGAATTTTGGTCATAGTGTAGGTCTACAACTCTGACCCATGGCCGGACAGCACCTGGTGGGAAATTCCTGTGGAAAGAAACATTCTTGGAGGGGAACTGGGATAGACTGGTTTCCAAAGAATGCTTGAGAAACACTGGACACCTTCAGCAGGAGGGGTTGGTTGAGTTACACATACAGAGAAAAAGGCTTTCCAACATATATTGAGGTCTAAGTTTATCTGGAAGGGGGAAAAACAAACCCTGGGAGTGGAGGTGGCCCCGTTCACAGGGTGCCTCTGGTACTTTGAATGTAAAACAGGGACAAGGAGAGAAGAAAAACAAGCAATCAATCAATCCACCCCCAAAATGCAAATATTTAATTGGCTAGAAATTAGCCATTTGCTAAATAACTGCTGTGATAGCACAGAAGGAAGAGTGGGTGGGTTTTGCAGCATCCTGAGGGATTCCTCTCCTGCTGAAGCTTAAATAAAATCCTGCCCCGAGCCCCTGAGGGGGTTCCCAGTCCAACCACCCCCTGAGCACCCACATGTGGGCAGGTGCAACAAGGCAAAGTGCAGTAATTGTTTTTAAGTTGTCTGCTATATAAATAATTGCAGCTATTAGAAGAGGAATGGGTAGTCACCCCCTTGGGGATTGAAGTAGAAATCCTTTCTGCAGGTTATTCAGCTGTTCTTTGTCGTTTTATTGTGTTAAATGGGTTTGTTCTGCTGTAACTCAGAATATCCTGATTTATCCAAGGCACCAGTCTTGTCCCTCTTGGGGGGGACAAGCCAATGGGATCCTGGGCTGAGCCCACTGATTTTGTGCAGACAGACATCTCCAAATTTGTGCAGACAGACATCTCCAAGTGCAAATAGAACCATAAAGGGATTCCCATTCCCACTCCATCCTTCACTCACTCCTTTAATGTTTTATTCAGTGAGCATCAAGCACAGAGCATAAGGAATGAAATTCAGGTCCTGTGGACCAGCAGTGGGAAAGAAATTTCGCTGAGGCAGCAGTTAGTGCAGGGAATCCCAGGGACACCCTCAGCCTGTTCCTCTGTTGCATCCCTGTGGCTCCAATTCCTCAGCTCAGCCTAGAAAGCTGCCTGTTCCCTCCTGAGAAGCAGAAACCCCTCAGGTTACTGCAGTGCTTCCACATGGATCTTTAAATGTCCCCTCAAGCTTGTTTTCACAGGGAGGAAACACCAGGCAGAGGATGTGAGTGAGAACAGCAGCAACAATCCCGAAGGAGGCCCCGTTAAAAATGCCTCGACATCCAGACTGTAATAAATAATTACAACTGATTTACACCCCACCTGTAATTCTGCAGTGCAGAGCAGCACTGAGGCAATCTCTGGTTCCTTTCCCTCAGCTTTCATCCTCCTGAATCAGCACCTCAGCACACTGGGCCCTGCATTCCTGCCAGCTCCTGTGCTCCAGGAAATGTGTGAGCTCCTGCTTGTGTCCCGTCCAACAGCAGGATAAAGCTCTGAGCTGGTCAAATTTTATTGCTCTACATGACTCAGACATTCTGCATGTGGGTGAACATGGTTTGACTGCTCCTCTGGGGTTTTCTGAATGAAAGAAATTCTTCCAGGACTGGGAAAAATGCTTCAAAAGTGGAAAGGGTGAGGCAGAAAAAAGCGTTTTCAGCCCCATTTCTGCTTTCCCTTGCTCAGGAGAAGGAACTCCAGCATCTTCCTGATCTTTAAACACCAGCCCTCCTTCCTGCTGCCCTCAGTGGGAGCACAGAGGTGCTGTTTGGGTTCTTTTATATGTTACATAATGCACACAAGACCTTTTGCTCTTCGGGAAGACTTCCTTTTACCTCTGGTGACTCCAAACAAGGCAGCAAAACACTCACAGGGTGGCAAAGCCACTCCTGCACAAAGTCTGGCCCAACTTCCTCATGTCCAGCTCTGACCCCAAACCTCCCCCTCGTGTGCTGCCACGTCCATGCTCCTCCAGCAGCTCTTCTGGGCTCCCCAGCAGGGGTTTGGTGCTATAATTCAGCTCCATCCCTACCTGGATTCTTGTCAGCCTGGGTGGAAGTATTTAACAATAAACAGTGGAAGGCAAATACCTAACTATTTTTTTGTTGAAGTGGCAAATTTGCTCCTTCAGTTGAGCTTAGCACACAGATGGGGGGTATTATGGCCCACAATGGTGTGGGAAGTAATTTTAACTGTGGTGTACAAACTGATGACCCTCAGGAGAGCAGCACTGACAGAGATTTCATTTGGAGAGAGGCTCCCAACCATTCAATAACAGAACAGAGGTTGAAAGCACGTAAAGTTTAGACTGATTTCATGCCTTACCTACCCCTGCAAGCTGTAGGCTGCTCCTAGCAAAGCCACATTGCTGAATAAATCAACTCCCCCTAACTTTGCAGCCTGGCTGATTTATCAGCCTCCCCCCTCTCTCTATTCAGGCAGAGGAAGGAGGAGATGCAGCTTCTCTGCAACAACAACATCCTTGGAACAGCTCTGTCCCATTTTCTTCCAAGGCCAAATTAATTTTTCAACAATTTTTCCGTTCTTCCCTCCTCTGAAGTTTCCTCAGTCATTTCCTTACATAACTATCTGCTCCTTACAATTTATGCACAAATCCCTTCCTTTCCAGCTTCCTCTGGGCTGAGCATGTTTTGGCCTCCAAGTCTTCCTCCTGGGACAGGACTTGCACCCTGGAGCAGAACTGGTGAGCAGCTCTGCCAGGGCACACAGGTGAACTGGCAACTTGAAATCCCAGGAAAAGCTTTCTCTGTATTTTTAGGGCGAGCACAGTTTAGGACAGACATGGTTTTGAACTAAACTGATTCCCCCAAAAATCCCCTCAAATTTGTAACAAGAGATCAGCATCAGGTTTAAATTGCAAATACTCAGAAATTAAGAGTTCTCAAAGAACTGTTGCAGGAATATCTTAGAGGGCGTTTGGTGAAGTTTTGCCTTTACTCTTGGTGATAAACCTTAGTTCCTGCAAGACTTGTGAGATTTGGGACATCATCTACATCCTTCAAGAGGACTTTTAAGATCTTCAAGTTCAGAAGGCTGTGTAAACACATCACTCTCCAGACAAAATAGCTGAGGTGTTTGGGGTCTAAAAAAAGATTTACTTCCGACTGCAGTTCTTATTTTATTCAGACTTCTTTGCTTTGCTCTGAGTCATTTCTGAAGCAGCTGAAAATAACAGCTGCTCTTGGGTTATGTGTAATATGAGAAGGTGAGTATTGTCAGAGTAATGACAGGTATTAGTGGGAAACAGGGACCAAACTCTTGTGCAAGTGCATCTCCTTGGAGATCTAATGCAGGGAAGCAGAGTTGCACCACAGCAGCCACTGGCCCGAAAGGGGAAAAATAAAAATGAAGTGAGATCCCTGCAACAGATAAGAAGGAAAAAGGGAGACTCACATTTTTCACAGAAACTGATTTAACCCCATAGGTGTAGGAAGGAATGATTTCCCTCACTTCATCCCTGTGAGCAAAAAGGTTTGAGCACAGAAAGCTGTTGATACAGAATATCCCTAAAAGGAGGGGAGAGCAAAGCCACCCTTGATTTTTGGAGGGGAGACACAAGGAACCCTTCAGTCACACAGCAGGGCAAGACAAGGCTCTTCAAAGCTGCAGCACCCCGTGGTGCTGAGCCCTGAAAAGCAATGAGTGGGGTCCCCTCTGGGTGGACACAGCCAAGCATTGTGTCCCATCCCAACCCCTTGGGCTCCTCTGCTCCCAGGGTGCTGGTTTTGGGAATGTTCACTTGGCTCTACACCAGCAGCAAGGCAGGGCTTGAGGCACAGACACAGCACAAAGGAAAAGCTTGATAAAACCTGGCTTGGCAGGACCCAGAGCAGAGCCAGGGATGGTTATCAGCCAGCTGGAGCACTGTGTCCTGGTGCTGTGCACTGCACCACATGTCCTGGATGCTGTTGGGACACAGGGAACATGGAACAAGCATTCCCATGGCCCTGAGCTGCTCCCCAGACACTGTTTCCCCACATCTCCCATTCCAGCTGGAAAAATGTACAGGCTTCATGCAAAGCTTCCCTATTTTCCCCCACCAAACCTGCACCATCTAGAAATCATTCCAAGGACTCGTGGAATTGCTCTCAAAACATAGTTATTTGTACCATACTCATGATATCCGTGAGAAGAAGGTAAAGAAGCATCTCAACTCCTAAAGCATCAAAATCCACAGTCCACAAAGTACCTTATGCTGACTAAGCAGAGCCTTTATTGCAGGGATTCTCTTCCCTACTATCCCAGCTGCAACAGGGAGGTGGGTCTTGCACCTGCTTCCCACTGAAGGATTACTGGGAGCCACCAGCAACTCTAAGAAAACCAAAGAGCCTGTAAGCAGTGAGTATTTCCAGCACACTGCTCTGAGCAGCACAGTCACCTTCCCTCCTCCATCCCCTGTTTCCACCTTTGTGTTTCTGGGTGTTTGGTTTCCAGTAACCCCCTGCCAAGGCAAACCATCCTCCAACAGCTGCACCAGCCACAACACCTGGAAACCCCCCAACTGCAGCAACAAGTCACAGAATCACAGGATGGTTCGGGCTCCAAGGGACCTCGAAGCTCGTCTCCTTCCAACGAGCAGGGAGCATTTGAAGCCCAGAGGGACCTTGCTGAAGGCTGTAGGTCAGTCCCTCACGCCACCACCACCTTGAAGGCAGCACAGCACAGCAAACCCCCTGAGGCTTCACCGCTGCTCCCGGGCCTTCCCCCCACGCTCCTTACCGAGCCTCTGGAGACCCTCCGGGCCAAGGTCACCGGCCCCGGGCTGCGGGGATGCTCCGGGCTGCGGGGATGCTCCGGGGCGCGCCTCCGCCGCGATGCCCTTGGGCGAGCGCAGCTGAGCGGGGACTGAGCACGGGCACCGGGCCGTGAGGGGCTCCTGGTGCGGGGACAGCGGGCTGGGGGACAGCGGGCTGCGGGAACACCGGCGCTCCGGGCTGCGGGCGCTCCGGGCTGCGGGCGCTCCGCGGCCCCGCGCCGCGCTCACCTCCGCGCCGCGCACCGCGGCTCCTCAACCCGGCGCTGTTTAAATACCCCCCTCTCTCCCTCCCTCCCTCCCTCCCTCCTCAGCTCCATCCCTCCCTCTTTCCCTCCCTACCTGCCGCCCCGCTCGGCTCCTCTCGGCCGCGGCCCCGGGGCCGCTCCCGCCCCGCCCGCTGCCGCAGCCGCTGCGCTGGGGCTTGCGGCGTTCGGGGGGTGGGAGGAGCGGGGCCGGGCTTGGGGAATGCCGTGGGATGGAGCCGGCTGGCCCCTCCGGCACGCCGGCTGTTTCCCGGGTGTGCGGTGTTTCCCTGGTTTTCCAAGCGCCGGCGTCACGCGGGATGCGGGGAGCGCAAGGAGCGCGCACCGGCTGCGCCAAAGCTGCCCCGCGCAGACCTGCGGGCACCGAGAGCCCTTCACATCGCGCCCAGACCTTGGAATGTATCTGGTTTTAGTGTAGTTTGCGGCATAGCGGGGGGGGGAAGGGCTGCCCGGGGGCCGCAGGTGACTGGGAGCATCCCGGCTCCAAAGGGATGGGTGGGAAGGAGCCGAGCGAGGTGCTGCGGCACGGCTGGGAGACACCGGGCGTGGAGAGAGGGAAACGGGGGGGGATAGCACCGTTTATCAGGTGCTTCCAGAGAAGAGAGATATGGATGGGCAAGTGCTTACAGGACTTTATCTGAAATCCTGTGAAATAAATGATGATAACCATGAGGTTCGGTTTCCTGTAGTTTATTCCGTCCCAGAGATAAAAAAGCAGGATTTGATGTCCTGTTTGCTACCAAACGGCTACTTAGGAACTTAAATTTGCAGTATAAGATAGAAATAAAAGCAACAAGCATTTTATTCAGTTTTCCCCTGGGGTTGGACTCAATGATACTCGTAGGTCCCTTCCAACTCAGCATATTCTGTGATTCTGGGTGAATTCCAGGTATAATCTCATTCACTAAATAAAGTCACCCCAGTGGGACCTGGGGTCACCTCCCCCACAGTGGGGCCACCATGTCCCTGTTCTGGCACCCAGTGATGAATTCTAACCACAAAAAAGCCATAAAGGAATGCAAACTGTTTCAAAGGGCCAGGTGTAACTGCTGGTATTAAAGCTGTTCTTTTAATATTTGAACACATTTTTAATGATGCTTTAAAAATGCTCTTTCCTCAGTTAATACCTTTAAAAGGCACTGCACAAACAGAGCTGCACAGGCAACAAAGGGGTGATCAGGATGTGATGTTTTCCTTCCCAGCTGGTGCAGTGAGAACAGAGCCTTCTTCTGCTCTTTTTATGGATGTTGACCGTGGAACTAATGCTTGCTTAGTCTTTGATCTTAAAAAATACTTATGCAGAGGCTTTGTTTTAAGCTTTCAAATAGCTGTGTCCCTTCCTACCTTGCAAAAGCACTCTGGGTTATCAGGGCACCTGCTCCATGCAACAACTTTAGCTCTGGGTATTTTAGAGGACTGCTTGGGGTGATTTTTGAAGAGATGTTTACAAATAACTGTCCTAGACTGTCATTATCACTCTCATGATCTGTTACTGTCTTGCTTCAGTCTTCCTGCTGATGGTCACAGAGTCATTGAAACTTAGAATTGTTTAGGTTGGAAAAGCCCTCCAAGATCATCGAGTTCGACTGCTAACCCAGCACTGACCCATGTCCCCAAGTGCCACATCCACAGGGCTTTTAAATCCCTGCAGGGATGGGGACTCCACCCCTGCCCTGGGCAGCTGTGCCAGGGCCGGACAACCCTTTCTATAAAGACATTTTCCCAATATCCAACCTGAGCCTCTCCTGGCACAGCTTGAGGCCGTTTCCTCTCCTCCTGTCCCTTGTTCCCTGGGAGCAGAGCCTGACCCCCCCCCCGGCTCCCCCCTCCTGTCAGGGAGTTGCAGAGAGCAAGAAAGTCCCCCCTGAGCCTTCTTTTCTCCAAGCTGAGCCCCCCAGCTCCCATCACACTTGTGCTCAGCCCTTTCACCCATCAGCTGCCCTTGCCTGTTGGTTTAGAGGCAGGTTTAGTGTGTCTATAAATGTTTCACATTTGCCTTTAGCCACACACACTGTCTTATCAAAAGGAGAAGGATTTGCCTTACAATAAATTACAGATTTGCTGATAATCAAATGTTGTTTGCCTTGAGACCAGACAGGGCTGCAGGTGCCCTGCCAAGTGTTCCCAGAGGGAAGAACTTCACCAAGTCAGAACTGACTGCATTCAGGATTAATAACTCTTTTATGAGAAGTAGGACAGAGTTTAATCTAAGGGAGGCTGGGTTTGATTTATCATCCATTGCTGCTGAGACAGGGAAGGCTCTTTGCTTTCACCCACTGTTTCCCCCTGAGCCTCTTGCTCTTGCCAGGTTCCTGCCTGACTCAGGAGGAGCCTCCTGGCTTGCTCATGAGAGAAATGAAAAGCAAAGCAATGAAAGGGGAACAAAAAAAAAAGGAAATGAAGAATTAACTGTTCTATTGGACCAGTTGGAGCAGCCAGGGGTTGAAAAGGAGAGGCTTTATGTGGTCTCATAAATACATTAAAAACACATCTAACCCTTGCATTTACCAACTGCAGGATGGCCCATGGAGCTCCCTCTGCCCCGAGCAAAGGAGCCAAAAATCCTCCCAATGCCTTAAAATCAGGCCTATACCTTAAAAGATGAGTGTAACCCCTAAACTAGGTCTGGTTGTGAACTCCCTTGGGGTTACCAGCCTCCTGCTCCAAACCTTCTGGAAGCTCAGCCTTCTCTAAATCTAAAAATCAGACCAGAGTTGTTACCTCAATGAAGTAGATAAAAATAAAGGAGTTTGTTTCCTTGTCTCCCCAGGGGCTGCAGCTCTGGAAGATCTACTCCCTTCCTTGTTTGGCCACTGGGGATTTGTGTTAATTATTGCTGGGGATTGAAGCCCTTGGCTTTTGCTCCTGCAGGAAACATCCAGCTCATCCCTCGAGACAGGAATAAAATCCCACACCTGCCATAAAGGCTGTCAGAGCATTTCTGAAGTCAAAACTGTAATTTGTAATATTTTGTGAGCCTTTAGGCTCTGTCACAGCCTCCTGCAGAAACTCTTGCCAACAGGCAGGGTTCTTCCAGCCCGGATCACCAGGGGCTGGGTCGGACCCTGGGTGGCTTTGGAGGTCAAATATTGACTAAGTCATGTCAGGGTGCCACAGTGGTGCTTTTAGTAACTCCTTTTCCTGGTCTGCACCTGTCTGCTGCAGGTGGGAGATCTGAAGCTTCACTTTCTTCCATGTAGTCTCATTTTGGATAAGGTTATTTGAACTTTAACAGCAGGAGGAAAATAACTGTGGGGTCCTCTGAAGGTCTGGTTACCTCAAATCATGGAATCACTGAATGGTTTGGGTTGGAAGGACCTCAAAGATCATCTTGTTCCACCCTCTGCCATGGGCAGGGACACCTTCCACTACCCCAGGTTGCTCCAACCTGACCTTGGACACTTCCAGGGATCCAGGGCAGCCACAACTTCTCAGGGCAACCTGTACCAGGGCCTCCCCACCCTCCCAGGGAAGGATTTCTCCCTAATCTCCAAAAAGTTCAACCTGAGCTGACCCGAGGATGTTCCTTCAAACCCAGCAGAACAACAGGCAGAACTCTTTTTGTTTTTCATTTTTCAATATCTGGATGTATTCTTCAGATCTTGTCTACCTAGTCAGGCTGCCTTAATGAATGGAAAGGAAACTCCCAGAGTAAGCATGGAATTTGTCTGAGTTTGCAGAATATTCCTGTAAAAGGCTGGGATGCTGGGCAGAGGTGATGCCGTGGCTAAACCTCAGACTATTGTGTTGCTAATCGTGCTCCTAACTAACTTGGTGTTACTGTTCTCATTCAACCTGCCAAATTAGAGTTTAACCTTTTATCTAATGACAGGGAAGATAAAACAATCAGCTCTCTTGGGGGGGTGTGACAACCGTTTGAGGGTGATTATCTCTCCAAGTGATGACACCACACCGCTCTGGAGCTCCTGTTTTGGGGATTAGTGTCCCTTCAAAGGTACCTGTAAGGCAGGAAAGGCTGGGTGGGACACTGGTGGCCAGGTCTCATCCTGTCTTCTGGTGTGATTTCTTTTGGAATTTTGTTCAGTTCCTCCAGTCTGAGAAATTCTGTTGCACAGGAAACTGCTTATATACATATATATCTATCTATATCTATATCTATCTATATCATGTAGTGAATTCATGTAGTGAATTATTTATAAGCAGCCTTGTCCTCATAAATCTGAATCTTAACTGGTGTCCTGGGGTAACTCTGCCAGTCCCCAGCTAGAGGAGGAGCTGGGTGGCATTCTGGCATCAGGAACAAGTAATTAGAAGGAAAAGGATTAATCAGCTTTAAGAACAAGGGCTGGGCAGGATCTACAATCCCGCTTGAGTCACATCTTCACATCCCTCTCAGCTCCCTGGCCAATATTAAATTGCTACAGCCACTTAATTGCTCTGTAGAAGCAGGTGTGGGACCTCCTGTTAGGACTGGAATCTCGTTGTTGAGCTGGAGATTTGAACATGTCCACACTCACACCCTCACTGGGGTAAATCCCCATCCCATGGCTCTGACAGGGAGCGCCTGCTTTGCTCCTCTAACCCATCCCAAAGTGTTTTAGAACAAAAAAAGAAGGTGCTTTGGGAGTTTAAAGTTTCCCTGTGGAGAAACCAGCCTTGTTCCGGGGTGGTCTGGAAGGAACAACCCGTTGAACAGCAGTTTGGAGTTGCTGGAGAGGTTTTTCACCTGGAGAAAGCCCTTTGTCATCAATCCTACTCTTTCTGATACCAATTTACCATGGGAAATTTTCTTAAAATGACCAATTCTTACCAATATCTGGGGTTTTTCTGTTTTGTTTTTCCTTATATAAGTTGACCATATGGGTTCAGTGTTTGCTACTGCTCTCAATGGAAACAAGTTTGAACAGTGTAGGTCTCACAAACACCTGA